AACGTAAGCGGACATATAGGATAGCTTGCAAAGAATAATTATATTATTAGCTCCACTGTCAATTAAGCTGCACTGTCGACATGTGATTTATAATCAGTGCCCAAGGCTAACGTCAGTTTGGTCAATGTTATGACTCGAGAAAAACAGTACTAAGGATTTGCCTCAGGGGTACTTGACAGCATAAAACGAAGGTTTGACATGGTTTGTTTCAAACTTTATGGGGGGTTATTTGATACCTTTTCTAGCGAGCTTTGCCATGTTAGCCTCAACTTCATCTAGCTGGCATACCTGACCTTGTCTGTGCTATAGTTATGTAAAATACTCTCCAAAATTGATCTCGACTCTAATTACATCTCTGTAGTTTTCCCTTTTCAGAATGTCTGCATTATAACTTGTTTATAACATTTCTAAAGTAAGCCCTACATTCTAGACTACGTTTTTGCTGGTTTATTGCTGCTATCAACCCCTACATTCATTTTGGCGTATTGTATTGTGTTTAGTTCTTGCTTTGATGTTGCAGTGTGACATATATGGGATAACATCATTGAATACCACTCAGAAGTGAAAATAATATTTGACGAAAGAAATGACCAATGTAAACTAGAACCTCTGAGAAGGAATTGTTAGAAAGTTGTGAGTAAATTCCAGAATCTACCCTCCTCCTCCCTAGCATCAAACAAACGATGATTTTAATGCGCACAGTTTGGTCGTTTTTGCTCTACAATTATCGTTCTACGTCAAAAGCTTGCTGCTATTCCATATGTGAAACTGCTCATCAACATATTTCTACTCAGATATATGTATTTATCCTCGATTGGAGCGCGACTAATTATGCCTTGTCTCATTCTTAACGAATTGAACTCCATGCAGAAAATCACGAAATCGACGCCAGCAGACTAAACTAAGGTATAGGGTAGCCTACGTTATTTGCCTGGGTCATATATCATATATTCATATAAATATTTTGCTTCAAACGTACAGATTATGTAGAGAGTACTTTTTGCACTCGTCCCAAATTGGAGCTTATGCCTATCGGTTGCACTCTTTACCACATCTATACTCCTATTGGATTTTTTTTGGGAATAATGGTAGTATTGACTCTAGCATCTACCTGCCGTTACTTACCCTCAATAAGTGTATCTTAAGGAATGGATAGATTATGTGATCGGCATGTCAAATAACTCCGCTCAGTCATCAAGCAAATCTACATTTTAGTTACCATGTCGTTAGTAGAGTTCACTATAACTCTAAAGCGCTTCAAAATTTAAGGCATCACGCATGCTATCCTACATGGTCTAATGACCCTAAAAATATATGTGACAACTGCTCCAGAAAAGGAGTAGAATTTAGGTCCCGAAGGACGAAACTACCATCGCTATCAACTTCAAGGTTTGTTAATATTAGAAATGATAACGGGATTTAGGAGTAGAACAGAATTGCACAGGACGACCACCAAACCAACGACGACTCCTACAACGACGACGACAACAACGACAGCAACGACCACGACGACGACAACGACAACGACAACGACAACGACAACAACAACAACAACAACGACACCAACAACAACGACGACAACAACGACGACGACAACGCCAACAACGACGACAACGACGACAACAACGCCTACTACGACAACAACAACTACAACGGCCACAAAACCATCAGCAATTGTAGTGACGACAACACCAGCAACTACGAAAACGACGACAACGGAAAAAATCATCACGGCGACAACACCCAAAACCACCACAACATCGACGACGTCAGTTACGACGACAACCACGATGCCGACAACGGCTAAAATCAGGACGACTCCTGGGTTAACGGTAGGTTATTGACAACAAATTGACTAATTCCACATAATTGATGATGAACGTTAAGACGCCAAAAGTTGTCAAGACTGCTGTACTCACAACTACAACAAGT